TATATATATATATATATGTATGTATGTATGTATGTATATATAGAGTAAACATGTAAGCATCATGACTCACATTTTGAACTACAACACTTGACGAAGAAATTACTCGTCAAAGCTATCGTCCCAAAAGTTGTAACGCATCAAGCTATTGCACTACCATACCCCCAAGAATAAATGCAACTTTATGTCCCATCTTAATATAATGTACAAAAATGAATGTTAACTGCATATGGTTAAATTAACTACGTAAATCAAATCATTTATCATAAGCAAGAGCAGAGAAGGAAAAACTCGTAACAATTCGAAAAGAATTAATTTACTGAATGAATGAATGAAAGCTCATTAATCTTATCGTTACTACAAAACATGAACTTATATTTCTATAAAACAATATAGCTTGAGGATTTCCCTGTTACGTCAGTTGTGATTTCATCTCTAAACCAACTTCACACCCACAAAACTGATTCAGACATTTATGCTTAGCATAATTGAAGATTTACCTCATGATGTTTTTGAGAAGCTTGGTGTACAGGCCAAAGAGCATCGAATTTGATGACAACATCACAAATTCTACAGACCAGTTGATCATATTCATTGTACCTACATTTACAAATAGGATTAATTGTCTAGCTACAAGTTGAAAGAAAATATGATTAGAAATTTCATTTCAATGATTATCTAGTGCTTCTACAGATAAATTCATTACAAAGATGTCAAAATTTCCACAAGCAAACTAATCCACATTGGAGCTAAGTTCACATGACTCAAGTGTCCGAATGTTTCCCATTTTTCATTAGGATCCTATCTTCATCCAAAAGAGAATGCATATATGTATATACATAGAACATAGATACACATTTTGTGTATCATATCAGAAATTAGGAAATTACTACAACTACAAAAATAAACAATTTCTTTAACGTCACAAATAACTAAAATTTCCACCATAAAGAATAGGCCGATCACTAAAATTACTTGGTTTAATCACAATATGTATTATGAGTGAACAAAAAATGCAAAACATACGAACAAAACAATTTGTATAAGTAGAATAAACTATAGATGGAATTTAGAAAAAAAAATAAAAAAATCCTAACCAAGTGGTGCTTCTCCTCTTCCTTTTTATCGAACCATTGTGTTGAATCCTCGGTGTTTGATTCAAGAATTAACTTCAAATCTAGAAAATATACTTTTATTTTTTTAATTAAAATATCCCTTTTATATATTCTAACTCCAAAACTTTTACATGCTAGTACATTGTAAGGCAACTAAAATGTAGAAAAAAAAACTTAAAAATTAACAAAATGGCATAGGGTCAATTGGTTGGTAACATTATCTTCTTGATCATAGAACATGATTCGCTGGGAACTATTATTACTTCAAATCTAGAGAATATGCTTTTACTTTTCAATTAAAATATCCCTTCTATATATCCTAACTCTAAAACTTTTACATGCTAGTACATTGAAAAGCAACTAAAAATGTAGAAAAAAATAATAATAATAAATTAATTAAGAAATAGCATAGGTCAATTGGTTGGTAACATTATCTTTTTTATCATAGAATGTGATTTTCTGAGAACCAGTCAATAATGTTACACGCAGAAATATTGATGATACACATAGAGTTAATAGTATTTCATAACTAATTGATTGAACAGCAACTTGCATCCACAATGGAAAAGGCATTATGGGTCATTAGCCATGTGTACTTGTTAAAAGATAACCCACTTACCTATTACATTATTACATTATTAGATAGAATATAATCAACAATTCAAAATCAAGAATATTCTAATAGAATCCTTGAAAACAACAAAAGAAAAACACTAAAGAAAATATTACTATGGAAGTGGGTATGGTGGCTTGGCCTCTGGTTCAGAAAGGTTGAGTCTTTCCAATTGAAGGATAGTCTCCACAATAAAGACCAGACCCAATATCAATAGCAATGGAACATGAATTAAGAAGCTACAACATAATTAAAATTTCAGCTCGAATTCAAATATAACATGTTCATAACGTAAGGATTTATAAATAATTAGACACAAAAAGAGATAATGAATTAGCAAATAGACCTGACAATTGGCAATTGGGATGAAAAAAAGAGGAAGAAAGAGCAAAAATAGTAAGATGAAAATATGGTGACCATCTACAACAGTCTAAGCATTAAATACTCAAATACATAAAGTGTAAGAAAATTTGATGACTATATATAACATAACAATCAAAGTTCAAAAAGGCCAAAGAATGTAAAATAAACCTTCTTTTTCTCAAGTTTGTCGTGCCCAAAAATGGTTAATCTTTCTTCAACAACATGTAAGTGTTATGCCTTAAATCCAATCGATTTAGGTTGTAAACACTTTTAATGTGTTTAATACATTTATATTTTGGCAAGATCTGTTATTTATTTAAATTAATATTCTGATAAATAACATTAAATAATAAAGTCTGAAGATTCAAGTTTAAATGATTTGTTAATCAAAAGAAGTTGTGATTATGAGATACAAATTACATATGATTGGATCTTGAATAATTCATGGTCGTAAGTAATAATGAAATACGGATATCGTTATTACGGATAAACCATCACGTGTGACATTTCTTACTTGTGAAGTAAGGAGCTGACCTCAAGAGCTACAGTGTGGTGACACTTAAATGAACGCATGGATGTTTTGTTATAGAACGAAATATTGGAGATCCACTAAGAGATTTCACATGAATAACTATCTAAGTGTCAGTAATTAATCTCTAACTTTCGGTAGTGAAATTGGTCCTTTCACTTGAGGTCGTCATAGTGCCTTATATGAGGATAGTCATGCTTTGACGGTGTTGGATCTACCAAGGGCAACTAATACAGTATCCTTCGAGTATGTCAAGAGCCATATAAAGGTTGTGAATGACCAATTGAGGATTCGTCACTCTTAGATAGTAAGAGATTGTGATTTGTATTTCGTTCAATTAAGTCAATAACGAAATCATTGGTCAAGGTATACTCATAAGTCGAAAAGGAGTTTTCGACTCACGTTGACTTAATAGTAGAATGAAAGATATGATCGATAATCGAGATTGACACACTTCAATATCTCGTAATTGATCGGATCATATTGACGAAGGGATTGTAGTTTCATGGTAAACAAACAAGATTGATTTTGTCATACCACGTGACATTTTCCCTCAAATGTGTTACCCTAATGCATTGCTAGATGTCAATCTAGGACGGCGAGTGTGAATTGGTGATAAATTAAAAGGGAGTTTTAATTTATTAATTTTGATTATATCAAAATAATATTTCACATCGTTAGGTATCGTGATCGGGAACCTAATGGATCGTACACAAAAGAGAATTGAAAGATTGCAATTTGTCAATTAATTAATTTAACAATCGTTGAATAAATTAATTAATTAGATTGGTTATTTATAGGCCTGAATTAATTAATTCACGGATCGAATTTAATTAAATGAATTAATTAAATATTGAACCGGATCGGACTAGGCCAAGCCCGTTTGAGCTTATATAAATACATGGCTAAGGTTTTTAATCTGTAGAGAATCTCATAATTCTTACTAGCACAAGAGTAGAAAACCCTAATAGTTGCAATCTGCTCTCTGTGTGGAATTCATTGGAGACTAGACAATTGGACAACTGTGGGAGGCAAATCCAAGTTGTTGGAACAAAGATAACGCAAAAGAGTTTGCAGATCTAAGAAAATCTATAACTTTTACACAATTCCAATCTAAATACAAAGATGAATCCTAGTGGGATTGAAATTAATTTTTATTTTAGCTGTGCATATTTAAGTAAATTCCCAACACAACCTTAGTTGAAAGACCCTCACTGGTAGATCTTAGATTCTCAAACACTTCCTCAAATGGGAATGTTGACCTATAACTACTGTAAAACAATTTACTCGAAATAGAGTATGAGTCTAAACAGCAAGCTTAAATCCATCATGAAGCATAATCAGAAAAACCTAAAAAGTAAACAAGAAATCTTGATTTAAAGTTTGTGATTCTTGATGCACTGGAGAATTCGTACCAAAAAATAAAATAAAATTAAAACACGATGTATACAAACATAAAAATAAGCCCAAGACTATAAATTCTTAACCAACAACACTGAACTAAAAAACTCTAATATATACGACCAAAAAATCAATTGTAATCCCAAAAAAAAACAATGGATTCTAACCCAACTCAGACAATAAAGATAGAGGCTTCAATTCCACCGATTATAACCCTAAGCTAATCTAAACATGAAGTTTTCTGAATTTCGGGGAAACTTTCACAAAATTTGAAACAAACGTACAGGAAAATAAATCAAACCCTCAAGAACATAGAGTTGGAAAAATGAGACAATACAGAAAGAAAAAGTATGAGAAGAATATACTTGAGGTTGACACTCTTCAATTTCCTATAGAAATATCCTCTATTTGTTGTAGATTTTCAGCAAAGGTCGAAGAAAAACAATAAAAAAATTGAACGCTTAACTATATCAACCTAAAGAAACCGAAATAAGAATGCACAATGACAGTAAAATGGGGGTGAGGATTCTAATTGCAAGTTTAAAGATCAATTTAAGGGGAATTATTTGTAGATGTTTTGTATGAGAATTGAGAGAGAACAGAGGAAATTAGGGTTAATGAAACAAGTGCGAAAAGAAAATGGATGGTTTTGTCATTTTATTCTAAGAAAGTATCTAGAAGGGTATTTATAAGTGTAATTAGATATGGATAGTTAACTAATTAAAATTTTGAATATGACTATTAATTCAAATTTATATTGATATTTCAACAAATTTATCATGAAATTCGAATTTAAGAAAATTTTATCTGAGGATAAGATTTCAATGCGGATATATACAAATTTCAAGTTTTATATATATTGGTGCAAATT